GGCTGAGTTGGGAAGATTTCCAGATTGGTTTCAGATTGATGAATGTGTTTCTCGCCTTCTCGATTCTCGATTTGACATCGCCGTCTGTTCCTCCTGTAGTTGAGACAATGCTCCCTAGATAATTGAGTGAAGTAACCTCTTTCAAATCTCTCCCGTTGATGGTGATTGGCACTGGATGTTGCTGCTGTTGTTGTTGGCGGTGTTTGGTTGGTTATTTTCATAACCTCCGTCTTGTCTATGTTCACCTGGAGTCCTGTCTTCTCTGGCTGCTTCTTCGACCAGTTTGTCGGTTTTCGCTTGTAAGTCTTCGATTTTGTGTGACATCAAACATAAATCATCCAGGCGCGAAATCCAGGTCTTCTAGGTTCTTCACGTCGGTCCAGGATATCCCTGTCTTCTCGTTTCCCACTGTCTGACGCATAATCCAGTCCACCACAATTAGGAATATCATTGGTGGTAATAAGCACCCTTGTCTGACTCCTGTGTTTACTCCAAACGCCTCGCTGAGTTTTCCGTTGTGGATCACTTGACATGTGCCGTTGTCGTACAGTTGTTGAATAAGGTTGATGCATATTTGCGGTACGCCGTAGTACTCGAGTAGTTTCCAAATTACTTCGCGGTCAACGCTGTCGAAGGCCTTCTCAAAGTCTATGAAGTTGAGGTAGAGATTTGATTGCCATTCCATGCTTTGTTCGATGATAATGCGTAGAGTTGCAATTTGGTCAGAACATGATTTGCCTTTCCTGAATCCAGCTTGTTCTGGTCGGAGTTCTGTATCCAGCGCGTCCTTGATTCTCTCCAGGATGATGCGACTCAGGATTTTACTTGGCGTCGACAGGAGCATGATTCCTCGCCAGTTCTTGCAGAGTCCCAGGTCGCCCTTCTTTGGTAGTTTCACCAGGTAACCTTTCCTCCAGTCAGTAGGCACCTTTCCCTCTCTCCAGATCTTTTGCAATAATGGAGTCAGCATATCTGCTGTTGTTTCTGGGTCCGCTTTCAGTGCTTCCGGGGGTATTCCATCTGGTCCAGCTGCTTTTCCAGCTTTCAGAAGCTTGATTGCATTCAAGACTTCAGTTTTCGTTGGAGGATTGGTGTCAACTTGCAGTTGTGTACGTGCTGTTGTTGGTATTACTGGACGGGTTGTAGGTGGTGGTCGGTTCAAGAGTCCTTTGAAGTGGTCCGCCCATTGTTTAATCTGTCTTTCTTCTTTGGTAATTGGGTTCCCTTGGCTGTCTTTTACAGGTTTCACTTGTGTTGATCTCTTCCCGGATAGAGACTTGGTTATCTGATATAGTGTCCTCAGATCCCTTTTGCCTGCTGCCTTCTCAGCTTCAGTAGCCAGGTTGTCGTAGAATTGTCTTTTGTCCTTCCTGGCACTCTTCTTCACTTCTTTGTCCAGTGCTGTGTAAGTTGAGCTCAGCGTCTCCTTCTCTTGTCCATCTTTGCATTGAATCATTTTCTCTTTCACCATTCTCCTCTCCTCTATTAGTTTCCAAGTGTCTGTTGAGAGCCATTCCTTGTCTTGTTTCTTCTTTCTCCCTAAAACCGTTGAACACGTTTCGTTGAAAATTACCTTCAGAGAGTTCCAATGGTCTTCCACGGATGATTCCTCAGTGGTGCCACGTAGTGTTTCCTGCTTTGCTCTGACAGTTGCAGTGAAAGTGTCCTTTGTGATTGTGTCCTTCAGTTTTTGCGTGTTGAACTTGCATTGTGGCCTATCCCCAGGTATCCTCGAGGCTTTCAGCTTCACCTTGAAAGTCCCTTGTACCAGATAGTGGTCTGAACCCACATCTGCTCCTCTCCTCGATCTTGTGTCCAGTAGGCTCCGTCTCCACTTCCTTGAGATTGAAATGAAGTCTATCTGGTTTTTGGTGTGTCCATCTGGTGAAATCCATGTTGCCTTGTGTATATGTCATATTTAACGATTCTAGTTTTTGTCCGATTTATCAGTAAAGAACGGACCGATAAAAGAAATCCAAAAACAGCAAATGTTTTTCAGATATATGTATATATTTCCTAATTACCTAACTAATTATGGGTATTTAAGACGTTATAAATATGTTTCTGTGACCGCAGACAATTAGGCATTCAAAGTCAGTTGTCTGAGCTAATTTCTTATAATTTATTTATCGAAGAACAACAGCAGTTGGATTTGTGATGTGCATATTCTCTCGTTTCAAGGTTGTCAGCTGAATATGTCTACAGTTCTATAACTGACTGTTTTACCACTGAAAACTGAGATCACCATTTTTTTTTCGGTTCAAACAACAATGCCTTAACCCATCAACCAAAGGTTATCATGATTCCTGCATAGCACTTCACCTCTGATTTCATTTTTGACTCTCTAACCGTCGGTTTTGCGTGTTTGTTATTGATTCTATCAAGAGGTAAAACACTGGAGACCACGGTATCTTAGCAGTGCAGTAAAGTTAAAAAAATGGGCAGGCGAACGAATGAACATATTAGTGACGTTGAAACGAGAAATTTTGTTAAAAAAGGAAAGTTTTGGATGAAGGGAGAGACCTCAAGTTTGGTATTAATAGGGAATTTTGCTCAGGACTGAAGGGATATTATTCATCCAGGAAGTAACTTAAACTTAATTCTTACCAGTTATTTCTAAATCTCACATAAAGTTGACTGTAGTCGATTTTAGCTCTAATTTTGTACTAAACTAACAACAATCTTTCCCTAAGTTAATCTAACCCTAAAGGGGATAGTCATCCTCTGAATACTTTTTACCCACAGTACTCAATGTTGTTCCTTATAGATTCAACGGCAAATCATAGTCGCTAGCTGTCAGCAAAGCTAAAGCTCCTACCTTGCTCTCCGGAGGTGATTCGTTAACTTTCACCTGTGATCATCCTCCTTTGGGTGTGACTGGTAGCATCATATTATAACTCATGCAGCATAACAGGCATCCTATCATGCTACTGGACTAACACAATTCCACCGTCCAACCCATTAGCATACAATTCTGCTCGAATGGTTCCATTCTACTTTCTCTAAATTAATCTAACCCTAATACTAATCTTTCTTTATTTCAGGCCTAACTAAAATCTGTACCGAATATAATCTTAATCTAAGCTTAACTCTAGCTTCTGACCCTGGATGATTATCAGTGAGATGAATACGAACAATCATTTGCGAAATTGGGAGTTATTCTCACAATATTTTAAAGAAGTGTCTCCTGCTTTATATCTTGCGTTTCTTTGAACATACTTCTTATGAATAGGAAGATATGCAAGTGAAAAGCAACAAGTTGGCAGAAGAAGCATCAGAGATAGGACTTCAGGTGAACACAGAGAAGACAGAGGTGATGATGATTCCTGGGCAACACCACCAAAAGCAACAACAACAACATAAAACAATCTGCATAAATGGAAGGAACCTGAAAGAAACAACCTCTTTAACCTACCTGGGAAGCATCGTTTCAACTATGGGCGGAACTGACGAGGATATCAAAGCAAGAATCGGAAAAGCAAGACAAGCTTTCAATACTCTCAAGTCTGTGTGGAGGTCAACAGCACTCAGCATCAAAATTAAGATCCGGATTTTCAACTCCAATGTGAAGTCAGTGCTACTATACGCATGGAGCAGAGACTTGGCGTATCATAAAGAGCATCTCAAACAAACTACAGACGTTCATTAACAGTTGTCTTCGCTCAATACTGCGCTCAAGATCAGATGGCCGGCCAGAAAAGATCAGCAACAGAGATCTCTGGGAGCGAACCAACCAGAAACCAATTGTGAAAGAAATAGGCAGGAAGAAATGGAGATGGATTGGCTGGTCATACTCTGAGGAAACCATCAAGTGACATCACTAGACAAGCCATCGCTGGAGTGGAACCCGAAAGGGAAGCGACGAGTTGGTCGTCAGTGCAAGGGTGACTTGGAGGAGGTCATGTGAAGAGGAAATGAAAAGGTGTGGACAGACTTGGAGCCAAGTGAAGACTCTAGCAGGGAACCGAAGGCAATGGAGACTTACGGCTGAAGTCCTGTTTCTCTAGGAATTAAAGGAAACAATAATATTATTATTATTCAGTGTTATTTTCTTTTGATGATCACTAGCAGTGTGATCATTCACTAGAGAATCGGGTACATTCAGCTGGTGAGTGTCAAACAGGACGAAATGCGCAGCCTAGATTTGATTGCTAGTCACTATCATCCAAAGTAACATCATATTATATATCAGACATCGTCAAGGCATCCGTACTAGAAGCTGAGATGACAGCAGAGACAGAAGTTGAGTGGGAGAGCAAACACCAGCCGATGATGATGATGATATATAAGATCACCTTGTTAACTGAAGTTCCTGTGTTCCACCATCCCTAGCGGGGTGATGGATGGTTGCTGCTGAAGATTCATTTCCAACCACCGACGAAACGGCTGTTCAATACACAATTGTGACACATTTCCATATGTTTAATGTTCATTTATTCTATGAATTAAAAAAGGTGCTTCCTTTTTAATTGGTTGATATTATTTTTTGTTTTACTGATTATGACCTGTCTGTTTCTTTAATAATAATAATAATAATAATAATAATAATAATAATAATAATAGTTTATTTGTGCCTATTACAGATACTTACAAACATTACACAAATAAGGAAATATGACAATACCTTATGAGATCAAACATACACACATATACACACGCACAAACGTAGAAGACAGACATGCATTGTATGCACACACACACACGTACGCACATGTGAATGAATGTCTGTACTACAAAGTGTCTAGTATGGCAGAAGTGTATTGTCAACTTATTTTGTAGGTAAAAAATAAACCATCAGTTCATTGTAAAAAAAATCATTTTTATATTTTGTTGAACACTGTGTTTATATGCGATATATAATAATAATAATAAAACGTGGCATATGATGTGTTAATGACTCCTTAGTGCTGCTGCCGCTATTGCTACAACTACTACTACTATTGTAATCCACAATTCAATCCACAATAAGATTTTTGCACCTTTATTCAGAATACATTCAAACAGAGGAAAAAATGTGCTCATACGTACGTGAGAATTTTTATATAATCTATGCTATTAATAATAATAATACTAATACTAACAATTAACAATAACATATTATATTATAATTTACAGTGTAATATATAACATTCTGAACACTCTTCACACACAAACACACACACTTATGTTCCCACTTTCTTTCGTTACTATTATAATCACTTATATCAATGTACTTCTTTTCTAAGTAGACATTTAGATACACGCATAGATATACTGAGGACTACTCAAAACGCTTGAAATTCACATGCTCACTGAAAGAGAGGCAAAAACAGTACGCCTATACAACATGTATACTCACATAACAATATTAAACATAAGGACAGTGAATGAATGAAGGAATGAGAGCGTGAATGACCTATAACTACCCAATAGTATAATATATATCAGTATTAATACTCTATATTACTTCACATACAAATATATAAATAAAGATAACCCTGTTGAATACATATATAACTAAATATAAGTAGAACTCAGCATCGTTGACATCGCCATCATCATCAGCCTATGTTACTGAACTCAAAATTCAGTCGAATAAATTTGCGGCATTGAAGAGTTCTTTTTTGAACGTAAGTTGTTTCGGTGATATTTTTTTATTGACTTTCATTACATTTCCCCGACTGGTGGTTAATTGTTGTTGTGAATTGTTGTTGTTGTTCTTGTTGGTGTTGTTATGCAAATGTTCTCATTGTTATTTTTTCCTCTACTTTCTTTTCTTTTTCTTCTAATTATCCTACGAACCGCCCCCGTACGCTCTCCCCTTCTTGTGGGGGATGAACAATCAATCCTTTTTGTGTGAATAACACTCAATGAACAAAATGATACGTGTGTGTTAACCAATCGGGATCAAATCAAAAACAATAATGATAATAATAATAAAAACATATATACGCTATGCATAAAATCATCGAATATGTTAACGGATTTCTCATAAATTAGATATTTAACTGTTGTGATTGTCCAAGAATGCATGCTAAGTGTAATAAAGAAATTGCTCAACATCAACAATTGATAGCTGAATTACAAGAACAGCTGTCAAATAAAAATAAACGGATCACAGAATTAACAAGTTTACTGGATAAATATCAAAGTGTATTCAGTTTATCGAGTTCCCTGTCGACACCGACAACTGTTGTTAAAAGTCAACAGCAGCAACAACAGCAACAACAACAGCAACAGATCGATAACAATGAAGTATTTGGTTTCGGTGGGAATGTTTCAGTGCATCAGAATGAATTAACTGTACAAACAAGAAAACGTGGTATCGGGATATCCGCTGAACCGCAGAATGAAGACGAGATTCAATCGAAAGAGCTTATATCCCATCCGAAATCTGAAGAGTAAGTCATTCTTCTTAGATTTATCTTTGTTTGTTTGTTTATTGTTTCTTTTTCGTAAAACTAAAATTCTTTACGAGTTTCGCTACGGATTGATATCAGTTAACCGGAAGGTACTGGGTTCGAACCCCAATTTGGTGAATGCGTACTGCTGATGATTCCCAAACAAGGATGAAACAGCTGTCCAGTACTATCCGGGTTGGTTCCCAATGGTTCTCTAAATGATATCAATTCGTGGTCAAACTCGTAAAAACAAATCTAATCCTTACAAACCGACTCTTGATAATTAAAATTCTTTATTTATGTGTTTATCTTTACACACTGGTGGTTTAGCGGTAGAAGGCTCGGCAACCACTTAAGTGGTTCGGGCGTGCATGCCAGGCTGATAAATTATATGAGAGGCCAGCATTCAAACCTCATACAAAAAGAATACACCGCTACTACTGAAAATTAAAAGCCCGAGTTTGAAGTCCTATGTTCCAATGGAAATCAGAAAAATCAAATAAATATCACAAAAATTGTATTCTAAAGGAGGGTAAGATACTCTCCAGCTATGCTGGAGATAAGGGTTGGATTCCCTACTGACCGATGCACTCCTAAACCCTGGTCTAGTTAAACTAGCCGTTAGTAAACCGGAAAGAGAAGGAATAAGTTTGGGCGTAGAGTCACCGGCCCACAGTCACTACATAAAAGCATCCCCACTGGTACTGCATCACTTAAAAATCTCGAAAGCCTGTGTTCCACTCGGAATGCAAGAACCGAAGAGAACTGTCCAAAAGGATAGTGAATATTCCGTTGTATACACCACCTCTCATTATTATTTATAATACATTCTATAATTCAACCACTCAGAGAATAATATTATTATCAAAACAAGTGATTCAGCGAAGAGACTCTTTTCAAAGAATTTATCATCAAGCTGTACAATCGTATACACATATGGTTTTTAAGAAGTTATATCCAGTGAGGGAATTGAATCATAGGAGTGAATGCATAAAATAATAATAATAGTAGTATGAAATGCAATTAAAAATAAAATGTTTGTTATTATAATCATTGGTAAATGTCAAGTGGCAAAGCAAATTAATGTCATATATAGAATAATTCATAGGATGGATAGAACTTGTAAAAGGGTGTGCAATTATAAGATTAGTAGACAAATCGAATAAAATAAAAATGTTACGTAATACTGTGTGAAATTTAATAGCATAGAATTTAATGTTGTAAAAAGGAATTGATTTAGAATGACAAGTGGAACAAGTGAAATAATACCGGGGACAGTTAAAAGTGAGAGTAGTAATAGTAACAATTGACGTAATAAGGAAGAGACTACAAATTGAATAGACAAAATGAAAATCTGAAAAATTGGTTGAGCTAAAATATGACTGGGGATTACTATACTTTAGCATAGAGGGATCAGGATGATGAAAGTTGGAGGGGTTGAACGAACTTTCTCTGTACACAGAGATCTGGCTTTTCTGTTTCGACAGCCAAAGCTTCAGCAATGCAGCAGATGAGTCGGGCACGTAGGGATTTGGGTAAATTACTCTTTGCCTTGTAGATGACTTTAAAGGCGGAGACTATAGAGATAGGGTGATCATTATCGACCAGATGTTCAATGATTGCGCTTCTTATTGCTCCACTTCCACTTTTTTGTAACCATGCAGGATAAATAATATTATTATGTCAAGGTAACGCTAGGCAACCCCCTATTCTAGTTGACTCATCATGCATGATCCAGTCAGATGACATTCAAAGCTGATGCGGTAGTATAGGTGTCATCATTTGACTCATACTACTATTTTGAATACCACGTATTTAGATGAGTATGTGTTTTAAGAGGATATAGGTTTACATCAAAACTGAATTCGAATCCTCTGTTACCTACAAATATCAGAGAAGCGTTACAGAGATATGATGAATAATTCATTTGGGTATGCCTATATTCTTTCATTGGATGCACTGCCAGGATGTTAGTTTGCTTTGAATCGGACTGCAAGTCATGCTAAGTATTAAATCGATTTGCAAAGTAATTGAGACCTGAGATTTTATGATAATTGTACAGTGCTCGAAATTGTTGAAACTAACAAATAGTTACAGATTTTCACTTGAAAAATTATGATTTTTGGGTTCCAAGTGGAACACAGGCTTTCAACAGCGCATTTTCATGATGTCCCATCCACTACAGTGCCTTTTAGCCGGCTGTACGACTGCCCATAGTCTCTCATCTCCTCCTCCTCTCATGATCACTTCACAGTCACCCTCGGAACCAAGCCCAACTCGTCGTTTTTCATTCAAGTTCCACTCGAGTGATGGCCTAGAACACGATATCATTCGAAGATCTCCTCAGCATGTGTCCAATCCATCTCCATTTTCTTCCAGATATCTGTTGAGTAAGAGGTTCTTGACTGGTTCGTTCACAGATTTTTTTTGTTGCAATTTCTCTTCTTTTAAAAAAAATAAAGCAATTTCATTTGTTTTGTGGGAATGTGAAATTCGCAAGCAAATTATTGTTAGGTAATGTCAGCCTATTGAAATTCCCTTGGATACTGTTATTATTTATTGCTTGCCTTCTGAGTGGAACCTACATCCTCAGGGGAACATTTGTAATGCATTTGTTCCTCCAGCATGACTTAAAGCTGGCTACACGACCTCCTATAAAGTTTCGTTTCTTTCTCATACACTCATTATAATAAAGGTTTTTATATTGCCCGCTGAATGAAAAACAAAACGAAATTGTTTTTACTGACATTTCGCTATTTAATGCTAATAGCTTATAATACTTATTGCTTCCTGTCCGAGTTCAACTCGATGACCTGAATGGTGCATAATGTCATTCAATGGTGGCCTCAATGTACGTCCCATATGCACCTCTATTTCCTTCCGCATAATATTCAATGTTAACTAACTGAATCCCTTTACATATGCAACGACTATCAAGTTTAATAGTCGCATAAGTGAATTAAAAACTTTCGTGCAATGTGAATAGCCATCATTTTTCTATTCATAGTGTGACTTCACATAAGTAATGTACTTTTTAAAATGATATCTGCGAACAAGTAATTCAATAATGCCGCCCGAGTCCATCATTACGCCATAAAATTATACCATTTGTTTATCATTTCCCTATCTTAACAAACTTATATTATTGTTGTTCCCTTGGGTCCCTAGTGGAACATAAGGCTTCAACTGCACGTCTCCACTTGCTCCTGTCTTCTGCCGTACTTTTCACCTGCATCCATATTATTCTATACAGTTTCAACTCCTCTTCACACGATCTCCTCCATGTCACCCCTGGACGTCCCACTCGTCGCTTCCCTTTCCACTCGAGCGATGGCTTGACGCGCGATGTCACCCAGCGGCCTCCTCAGCGAGTGTCCAATCCATCTCCACTTTCTCCTGCAAATTTGTTGAGCGATTGATTCTTGTTTTGTTAAAAAACTTACGGGAGGTTTTTTAAGTTTATCACAAAACCCTACCGATAGAGTCTACAAAGTCAGTGTGGTGACGAAAACAGCCCACTAATGAAAGTTACTGACAGTGGCACTTAGTATATAACCAGTTGGTAGAAGTAAGAATTAATGAGACATTCCACTCTATCCCACTAGCTGAACGGTTGATGGGCTTGCCTTACTACCTGAAGGTCCTAGGTATTTTTTCCCTGGTGGGGTAAGTGTTGTCGTGGAGCCCCAGACTGGGACGAAACAGCTATCCATTACTCTCTCTGGCTTATTTTATCTACCCTTGTAGATAAATTCCAGTCAGTCAAATCTTAGACATTCATTCTGTTATCTGGGTGATAGTATTAGAAATTTGATTGACTGTGAATATAGTGAAGACTGCTGATGACTGGATATGACAGGAATGACGTGCCAGTGCTATACTCCACTTGTCATTCAACATGAATTACGTTTATGAGTTTAAATCCATACAATTAATTAGCATTGAAATCGTACCAAAAAGAAATTGAGCGCTATTGCAATAAATTTGATTAAAATACTTTTTTTTATTAAAATTAAACAAAACTTCGTTCAACTGTCAATTTCAGGTGAAATTAGTGTTATCATTTTGCATGTGTGCATGTGTGCGTTGTATGAGGCTGTAGGCTTAAAGAAGTATGTGCTCTCATTAGCACATACTTATTTTTATTCTTTTTTTTTAATAATCAGTCTAAATGAAGAATATTCTTTTCAACAGAACTCTTCAAGTTCTCATAATTTTTGACGTAGAATTTATTATCATTATAATACTCATGAATTATCATGAAATTTGCACTTTTCTGCACTGAAGGCGACTTAAATTTCTAAAATCAGACATTAAACAAACCATAGGTGGGAAAATCATCACTTAATGGGGAATGCAGGTGCATCTAAGTGACGAGTCCCAAATACGACGAAATGTGCATCCTTGATTCCATTGCCAGTCACCACGATCCACCAATTGAAAACCACAATTAGTTAAACACATCGTTGGTTATGGTTAGAATGATAATAAATTCTCCATTGAAGATGTAAGTAAATAAAGAGAACTTTTTGAAATGAGTTTTATTCAATTATGGATAAATTTTGTTTCGATAAAGTCTCACAGTGTTATACAGTAATATTTACTGATGACGTTTCGAGCACAATTTATTGCTCATAATCATATCAAGGTAATCACCCGACTTCTTAAATTCATTTATATAGTTCCGTTGTTTCTCACTTGATTTTCACTTGATTTGATTGGTAGTAATATTTTCCATATTTCGGGTATGAGTGATTTATCATTCCTATTGCATGTGTTGGGTGTAGATTCAATGAACAAAGATTCTGTAATCAACTACTCTCTCCACCTACCTACATTACTTTTTAGAAATTTAACCCTCTCCTTTCCTATTGTGTGGTTGTGTGTTACTGCATGCAGTGCAATCGCTGAGCTTTTTTCTAAATTACTTATCTTCTGGGGGTCAACCATTCTTACCTTTGCTAAATTATTATGTTCTGACAATCTGATTACTCCCGACC